CGATCGTTTACCGTTCTGGTAGACGTATTGTTGTGGGTTTATCCTACCTACACTAGTAGCTAGAGTTGCCGTGGGAACTACAACACCACACAACAGTGAACGGAGCTGGTGAAGCAGTTCGAGTTGGCGCTGGGGTAGATGAGATGGGGTTGTTGTGGATAATCGACTATCTGCAGTGACTTCAACTCCGCTCAAATCAGGAAACAAAACACGCGCCAGTGGCGAGGACTGATCTTGGGCTGGAGGTCGTGAATGAGAAGAATTACTTACATCTTGGAGCGCACGAGCAGGCGTTCGAGTTACAGCAGGCGTTGGAACAGGAGTTCGATATACGATAGGTGTTGAGTTAGCCGGTGTTGTTCGAGCGGAGTTTAACGGTGTGGCAATTCGCTGTCGTTCTCGAGGATCAACCGCCCGAGCAGCTTTGTGGAGCCTCTTGGCGTCGCTTTCTCACGAACGTACTGGCGCATTATATGGTGTTTCATGTTTTTTTCGACTGCCATTCGATTTCGTTTTGAGGTTTGGATCAGCGCAAGCTCACTGAACAAACGCTCACAGGTTGCCGTGTTGACGACAATGGACATGATTGTGAGAGCAAGCAGAGGATTTTTAGTTCTTTTTCGTATTCTTCTCATATTCCAAAACATCGACACGGTATCGCTCTTGAAGTCAGCGGAGCGTGAAGTTGTATAAGTTCCCTGAACCCAATCGAACATTTCACCGCGTAACCCGCTGTCATCTTCATTTACAAAACGACGAAAGTATTATTGCGCAAACTGACAAACATCGTCCAGTCCCGTAATTACAGTTGATGGTAGGCTTCGCGCTCGTTCGACATACTCAGGATGTAAAAAAGAACCCCAGCATGAAGAGAGGTTTCTCACATGCATTTTCAACTTTGTCCAGAACTCAACATCCCCTAAAACGCGAATCTTGTCCGTGAGATCCGGGCTGCTCCGATATGTGAAAGCCATATCTTCTAAGGCTCCACGAACCCGAAGTAACGACGCGAAGCAAGCCTGCATCGAGTTCCACCTAGTCTCACATAGTGTGAAAACGGCAAAACTATTGCCATAGCGCTTAGTCATCGCTTTAGCAGCCCGAGCTAACCATTTAGCAGTTGAAGTATTTAGAAAATTTGCAACGCCTGCAGCTTCCTCGGAAACCGTTCTAAACACCGTTTTTAGAACGGCTTTCACCAAATTGTTTACATCGTGTGCAAAACAATGAATGAAGGCAATATTTGGGAAGCGAGGTGCCAATATACGGCGAGCCCGACTACATTGGCCGGCGCTGTCAGTCACTACCGCACCCACCCTCCACTCCGATGCCAAAAGACCGTCATGCCGATCACCAGTAGCCTTTAAATCGTAAGTCAAAATCCGTCCAAATAATGCAATTATACATTCCAGCACATGCAGTTTCGCAATTGTTTCCCACACATCCGACAAGAAGTTTACCCTTCCACCACTTCGATATTGAATCGCTCGAACACTGTCATGTTGTTCCATCGAGTGTAGCTCGGCGTATTCATTCAATACTCGACCACTCAGTACATGGCGATGTGGAATAGCTCCAATTCCTCCACAACGAGCACTCAAAAAGACTAGCAAGCGTATCAATGACATTAGCTCCGCAAATGAGTCCGGAAGCAAGGCTTTTGCTTGGTATTCCAGTAGCAAACGCTAAAACATCATTTTTTCAGCGGTAGTGAATTCTGGTGGCGACGTGTATTGCTGTTTGTTAGCACCATCCTGCTGGCTCGCCCTAAAACACGCTCCCTGCGGCCCCAGTGTAGTACACGCATCCTGTCAGGTGCTTTTGCCAGGCTTCTTTGCGTCCATGGACATGTGTCGGAAACGGTATTGTCGCTTGGTCTTTGACATGAGCCGCATAACAGTATTTACACACAGTCCACCACATGGTCTTGTTGCACCGCTCATTTAAACGGTAAAAGTTTGTGCTAAGGGTACTGGGAGGGCGTCCACACTTGACCTGGCCTGGGACATCCTGCAGCCCTGGCAGTAGATCCATGAGAGCGTCGTAGCTTATTTCCAATATCAGCGACGACGATAGATTCAAAATGTGCGAGTGTCGCCAGGTTACGGCAAGAGATCAAGCTCGGGCTCTGTTGATGTCCAGTGTGATGATGCCAAGCTCCGAGGACACCAATGGGGGCGTGGAGGGCCTGCCGCTGTGCCTATCAGCAGAAGGAAGTTGCCTCCACGCCGATTGATTGGGTTTGGCACACGCAGCAAGTTGATCAAGTGGACGTTGGCACGTGGCCAACAAATTGCATGCTATACAAGCTGGACGACGCAGAGGGCGGTCATAGTTCAGTAGCTTACGTGTTAGTTGCTCTCATTAATAAACTTTTCTCTTTGGAAATACCTGGGTTTCGCGACAGCGAGCTTTGAGCTTCATCATTTTTTTTACGTCAACAATGTAAAAATGCTGTGTAAAAATGTTTTTAATTATGTATTAAATACATTTTACGTGAAAATTTAAAAATGTGAAAACAAAAATGGACATCCCGACGCGAACACCGTATGTGAGCGATAGCATCTCGCAAACACCCAAGGACCAGGGTGATGGTTATACCGACGCGAACACCG